TACAGTTTCTGTTGCAACTATTTAACTCTCCCATTGTGACATGAAAGCAGCCATTGACAATATGTAAATGAATGAGTGTGGCTATGTTCCAATAGAACTTTATTTCTGAACACTGAAATTTGAATTTTATAATTTTCCTGTGTCATGAAACATTCTTCTTTTGATTTTTCCCCACAACTGTTTAAAACTATAATAACCATTAGCTGGTGGGTTGTATGAAAACTTGTGGCAGGACAAATTTGGTCCATGGGCCATAGTTCGTTAACTCCTGCTTTATAGCAATAACATGCGATAAGTGCTATGTAAGGGAAAATCAGGGTGCTATAGGAACACAGCAGAGTCCCTGTTTATTAGAATGGAAGGACTGGGGATAGAGGGTTTGCAAGTACTTCCAAGATTAGTGCTTCACAAACTATAATGTGTATCTTGGGGATCTTGCTAAAAAATGCCCATTCTTGTTCTCTAGGTCTGAGGTGGGGCCTCAGATTCTACATTTCTTTCAAGCTCCCAGGTGATGCCAATGCTGCTGGTCCACGGACCACACTTGGAATGCCCAAATCATAGAGGAAATGATTAAGACCCTCTCCCCACTCCCCCTCTCAACCTGGCTAGCTCCAGGCCATCCTTAGGACTTCCTTAAATGTCCACTCTTAGGGAAGCCTGATCTTTCAGTCCAGGTTAGGTCCCTTTTTGTTGTAGCAAGTAGTTTTCCAACTTTAATGACGGAGCATTAACAGTTTTAAAAGAAAGGAAACTTTAATGAGTCTGATAGAACCTTTTTTCTTCCTTTTTTGAAGATTAACAGTGGGTCCTGAGGCAGTTATTTTAAGCCTAAATTTTTTTTGTAAAACTAAATAGATTCCAAATAGTTTTGAAGTGTCATTGTGAGAGCTTGGCATTTTTTTTATACAGCATTTAAAAAATCCATAGTTTTAGTGAGAATGGTCATTTATAAAGTTACAGATCTTGAGTTTAAGGAATAAATTCTCAGTCATTTATTTTTAGTAGTATATTCATGTTATTCTGGTCAGGGTAAGTAAGACATTTGCGTGAGCCGAATCAGTTTTGAAAGACAAGTGTATATGGATATAAGATCTTTCCAGTAAATCTTGCAACTATTTTCGTGCCTGCATATGTTAACATTTTTATAATTGGCTTCCAAATGACAAACACAGATGTCTGTAGTCTGAATTTTCAGCATGTTTTTGAATAAATGTTTTTGCAGTAACTTAAAGTGTATCATTTCATTATCAGATTAGCTAATTGAGTAGTTTTTGATTTTGATTTTTTTATTTCTGTTTTTTGCTTATCTGCTAGCTTGCCATTTTTCAGATTAAAAATAAAGATAGCTTACATGAGTATAAGAAGTTGGATTTATGATATCCTGTTCCCTCTGACATTTTTACAAAACCTTTTTTTTTTTTCATTTAAAAGTGTATGCTTTAATAGTTGGACACCAATATTCATTGCAGCACTATTGACAATAATGAAAAGGTAGCAACAACCCAAATCTCCATCAGCAGATGAATGGATAAACAAAATGTGGTACATACAAATAATAGCGTTTTATTCAACCATAAAGAGAAATGAAGTTTGATACATGCTACCACATGGACGAGCCTTGAAAACGTTACACTGAGTAAAATAAGTTAGACACAGATGAACACATATTTTATGATCCCACTAATATGAAATATCTAGAATAAGAAAATATAGAGACCAAAGTTTAGTAGTTACCAGGAGTTGGTGAGATAGGGAAAATGGAAGTTAGTGCTTAAGGGGCACTGAGTTTCTGTTACTACTTGCTGTCCCGTTGATTCCAACTAATGGCAACCCCATGTATGTCAGAGTAGAAATGTACTCCATAGAGTTTTATATGGCTTATTTTTCGAAAGTAGATCACCAGGCCTTTCTTCCAAAACAGAACTCTTGATAAAAAAGTATTATGAGTATTATTTTTGAGAATTTAAATGTTATTTTAACTTTGTTTGTTTGATAGAGGAAGGAGATCATGGTGAGAAGAACTATTTTGTGTTTTAATTCATTTAGTAAATAACTAGAAAATGCATTTAATTCTGAAAACATGGAACCTTCTTACAGAGCAGAATTAGATGTGCCTGTTGTATCATCTGAGTTCTCAGGTTCTGAGAAACAGTGCTTAAAACTATTTAGTGGTGACTCTTTTCTGTAAAAAATAAATTAGCCTTTTTCACTTAAGACATTTATTGAGCACTGTTCTAGGCTTTGAATATATAGCAGTGAACAGAAGACCTTACCTTCTGGTTAATTTTTCTGAAACAAACATTACTTCATATAATCAGCAATATGGTCCTAAAACAATGTTTTGATAATTTTATGGCCTTAGAAGTGATTCCTGGCAGCCTGATGGTGCAATTGGTTAAGCACTCAACTACTGGCCGAAAGGTTGGCAGTTCAAACCCACCCAGAGGTGCCTCAGAGACGGGCCTAGTGATCTGTTTCTTAAAGGCCACAGCATTGAAAACTCTGTGGAGCGGTGCTACTTTGCACACATGGGTTTGCTATGAGTCGGAATCAACTCAATGGCAGCTAACACCACCATCACCAACAGAAGTGATTCATTCTAAACACTATAATAGAACAACAATCCACTTTTCTCCCATTTCTACCTGTTACCTATTTCATTTGGGTTTGTTTAGTAATGGATACTGCTGTCCCACACAGTGTTTTTTTTTTTTAAAGTCAAACTTTTTATATTGCAAAATTTTGGTTTTTTCTTTATGTTTTTATATAAATGAATAAATACTAAATATATCCTCTGCTGTCTGAATGTTCTTTCTGCCTTAGACAAAATGGAATTTCAAGAAGTTTTTGAAATTGAGCATAAATATCAAGAATGTTATTATTAATAGTTTTCTTGACTTTGCATTATTCTCCCCAAGGGCTCATATCTGTCTGAATGATGTGCTTCGACTTTCAATTAAATTTACAGATAATATATTTAAGTGTTCCAGTTAGTTTATTTTTAAGAATGAATTTGGTATCCATCAAAGTAGTTTTAAATGCATTCCAACAGCTTAATAGTGTACAAGTAGAGGCAACTGGTCTTGCACCTGTTCCTTAAGCAAACATGAGGTGGAATAACTCGCTAGTTGCTAAATAACTGGGGATAAAATTTAAATGTGATGTGTTTTTATATATCCTATATAATATTTTTATATTTTGTAAGGTCACATGATTAGAAATTTCCTATTTATGAAATAGATATATCTTCATTGAGTAAACAGTACAAAACTGTATACTTTTTTCCGCTTGGTCTACTTCAGCAGACAAAATAAGTATAAAATATGCTGTATGTTATTCTGTAAATTCTGATATTTGTCACATATGTTGTAGTTAATAACATCAATGTCACTATTAACGGTATTGCTTTAATACTTTGTATAGTAAGAAATTTACTGGCTATCTTTGTAATTTGGCTAATAAATAGTTATAGTAATACTGGTAGTGTTACATCCCTTAATAAGACACAAAGGGGCTTATACTTGTTTTCTTTTGTTTCTTTCCTCAGAATGATTAAAGAATTCAAAATTAAATTTAGAGCATTGATGATTAATAGTTGTTTCATATAAAAATTAGGAAATTTGTTTTATAAAAAGGAAATTTCAAGTGCGCAAAAAAGAAAATCACCTGTAATCTCAAGTCCAAAGATACAGCAACATTACTATGGTTATATTCTTTCAGAATTTATCTATGCCTGTATGTAGAATGTTATTTAAATTCAAGCTAGATATAATTGCTGAAGGCTATGAGCCTGAGCCTGTCTTCTTTTTGTTAAAAAGAGATGCATGTAATTTTCCTTTCATAAAAGGTAGATTATTCTGTACTACTATTTTATGCGTACTGCTGTCTCCTGAACATCTTTATTGTTAATAATGGTTTGCATTATTATTTTCATTTGGATTTGTCATGGTTAACCCAGTCATGTCCAACATGTAATGCATACCTCTAATTTTAGGTGGTGATGAGATATTTTAAGGTGATATCCCGACCCAGTGTTAAATAACATTGGATAGTGTTGTAAAAACTTACTACCTTTTCAATTTTCTTTCAGTCCATCTGTTTTATGACAAGTTGAAAGTCTGTTTGATGCTAGTATATCCTTAATACCCCATGCTTACCTATTTCTCTCATAGCCATCAACTATAATATCTATTGAAAATTTTAATAACATCATTTTATTTTCATTATGTTTTTATCTTTTTTTTAAAAGAATCTCAAATGGTAATGATAATGAATTTAATTTACACCAGGGATAAAAAACTTTCTTTTAAAATAAATTTAAATAAGAAAAGTGCTCTGGTTAAAACATGTTATCATATTAAGTAAATGATAAGTATAGGTGGCACTAGGATATAGCAAAAATCCTCACGGTGATATGTAAATGATTAAGAGCTGGGAAGCATTATTGTTTGATATTTAAGTTATTTCTAAGATTTTCCCCATTATGAACAAGGCTGCAGCGAGCATTTATATAGTGAAATCTTTTTGCATGGGCTAATTACCTTTAGTGTAAATTAGTAGAAGTCACAGAAATTCCACAAAGCAAATGCATATATATATGTATTCTTGTAATCTCAAATCCAGAGATTACACTCTTACAAATAGTGAATGAGAGAGAGTGCTTGTTTTCTCGTATTCTACCCAACTCTGGCCTAGTTTTCTTTATGCATGGCATTTTCAGTTCTTACTTTTCAGTATTTGAATAACGTTCATTCAGGAATACCTAGTTTCTTTGCAATTTAATAGTTATTCTTTTATATTAAAGACCATTAACACTTGTCCTTTATTTTGTAGTCTTTTTTATTTAATGATAATTTGATCTTTTAAAGAGTTTGTCTCCAAAGCTGCTTTTTTCTTAGTGGTAATAAAGAAAAATTATCTTTGATGATAGTGGCAATTTCTTTTTTTCTCTAGCTTGCCCAGTTTCGACAAAGGAAAGCTCAATCTGATGGGCAGAATCCTTCCAAGAAACAGAAAAAAAAGAGGAAAACCTCAAGCAGTAAACAGGATGTGTCAGCCTATCATGCCATGAATATTGATCAATCACAGACCGATGAGATGTACATAAATAGTTCTCAGAGAGTAGGATCAGCTGTGACTCCTGAATCCACAGTAATGAGAACTTTACACAGTGGAGAAATAGTCAAGCGTGACCAGGTCTTCTCTGTTGAAGTAAGTATTCATTCAGATTTTTAAACATTATAGTTCTAGATGGAAAGTTGTAATGACAACACTTAGGCACCCTATGCAGTTTAATCATGATTTTTGTTTCCGTTTGAAAGTTTCAGTAAGATGATAATTAAACAATGATGCCTAAAATATTCAATAACCGCTGCTAGGGAGTTTTGTGAGCTTGATTCAGCAAACATTTATGGAGCAACTGTGGTATGCTGTGCACCAAGGATACAAAGATGAATATGACAGTCTCTGCTCTTCAGGAAAATCAGTCTAGTGGGGAAGGCAATTTAAAGATATTGAGTGTACTCTGATTAGAGCCAGGTTTAACAGCATACCTGGTTTCTGCTCACTAGATGCCAGTAGCACCTGTCTCCACCCCCGCCCCCAGTTGTGAAAACTCAAAATGTCCCCAAAACTAAAAAACAAACCTGTTGCGGTGAGTCAATTCAGACTCATAGCCACCCTAGATGTCTGCAGGTATTGCCAAATGTCCCCTGGGGCACAAAATCATCCCTAGTTTGAGAAGCACTGGTCTGATATAAAGGGGAATTTTTTTGTGGTTTTTTTGTTTTTGTTTTTTTTTGAAGAATCAGTATTTTTTATTTGATAATATGCATATATTGCTGTATTAAGCTTTCTTTCTACTTGCTTTATATTACAAACGAGATAATTTTATAATCATATATATATGTAAAAAACACCTAACTACATCTAACACCTGACAACAATATACATGTATAATTTTATATACATATAATTTTCTTTTATTAGTAAAGCACATTATAAAACCATGATTATTTCATTTTTCCATTAAAACTGAAGTACGTTTTTCTTTCTTTATTTTTATTGTACTTTAGATGAAGGTTTACAGAACAAATAGTTTCTCATTAAACAATTAGTACACATACTGTTTTATGACATTGGTTAACAACCCCACAACATGTCAACACTCTCCCTTCTTGACCTTGGGTTCCCT